TGTCGGCTCTTATGAGTTTGATTTTAACGACTCCACTGGAACCGGTAACACTCCCCATGCGGATTCAAAACTCCGCGTTCCTCCGCCAAACAAGCCACTCCCTGCCTCCAAGTCCATCCCTCATGTTCCTTCCGGGTACGACCCAGTTCACCCCACCCGATCCCATTCATCCGCCTCAAGTTCTGCCGGTGGTACAAATGTGAGTCAACCCAATTCCCCACATCCTCCAGCTTCATCCGCGTGCTTGGCCGAGGTCAAGCGCGAGCAAGAAGCATTGAAAGCCGAGCAGTTAGCGCATGATGGAGACGATGAAGAGGATGAGGAAGAAGAACAGGAAAACTCCGGTTATCGTAGACGCACATGGCGTGTACCATCCCAAACGCGTCGAACAAAAATAAACGATGCAGTTAAACCAGAGCCATCTAACACTAATTCCACCCAACGGCTTCCAACCCCAGAACCGGCTGCAAGTGTACCGCAACCAGCTCTTGCTTCGACCCGACCTAGGCGACAGCACCCTCGTATTGATGGTCCTAATCCGTACGTACTAAGCGGGTCTTCATCGAGTAAGCGTCGAAAAATGAATAATGGCTGTTATCACTCCAAATTGAGCATTCATGGGCGACGTAATGTGTTGGAGTTGACCAAACACAATACAGCTAATTCGACCAATCCCAACCCATCCCGACCAATTCCGTCTACTGTGAAAATCGATGGTGAAGGTACCAAACGACGCACGGTTGCCGAATCCGTTGAGGTCAACACAAACGCATTTATAAATAATCGAGAAACAAGAACGTCCAAGCGCAAATCCACTCGTTCTGCTCGTCGCTCTTCCTCTTCTCGTACGCGGCATGACAGTTCCAGCAAACCCGCCTTGAAATGTCGCATTCGAGTCCCTCGCTCCTCTTTATCCCTCACCTCTCCCTCCTCCGCTGATCCAACTGAGTCAAATGAGACGAGTATAGATGAAAACAATATTCGACCAACTGCATTTCCTCCCAGTGCTAATGAACCTCGTTCGATCCCACCTACATCCAACGAGACTGCTTCTCGTTCAGAAGCCACGGCTGAAACATCTACTAATGGTGCAGATGACTCCATCCTCGGAGGAGCATCGGCTCCATCCCAGTCCTTTGTACGACTGTCCACTGAATCAAAAAATACCAGTGCCATGACGGATAGTAGTGGTGCCAGTGCGTTGGAAATTTCCCACTAAAATTGTATATTTATTTGCCTTACCCCTCTCCTCTTCAGGCCTTCTTCTCCCTCTCTTTCTCTGTGCGACGCAGTTGGGTTTTGTTCTGTTTCTTTCGATTGCGTTCCATTATGTGTCAACGAGCGTGCTCATCATCTCTGAATCGATTCATTCCAACGTTCACACTTATCTCATTAGTTCATCATCTGAATTGTTCTGGTTTCGCCCGCCCCCTCTATACACAATACGATTGTCTCACTGTTCAGTGATCGAATTGCAATTTCACACGCAGACACACCGAACAATTAGTATCCCCGCAGAGGTTCTTCACGGCGGCCTGTCTGTTTATTGGCTCAATGTGATGCTAAATACTCAAACGAACATTCATGTTTGATCGCAGTCGTTCTTGAATATTCCACCAGTGCATTTGGTTTCAAAATACACCGTTTGGTCGTATTTCTACTCTTTGTTTTTTCTCTTGTTTTTCTTTCTTTCTCTGTTGTACATACAAAACTTGAAAACTGTTCACTATTTGTGGTGATTTACAATCCTCTTTTCCCCAATCAAACTTTGTTCGTTTACACGTGTTCGTATGTGCATGCATATGCTAATCCACAATGATTAGTTATGCTCTGCCAATCAGTTGCTTCCTTACTCGTTGACCGTTACCGGTGTTCCTGCACATTGCTTTCCGTATGTGGATCGAACGTGTTTCGCTCCGCCCTCCCCCCNNNCCCTTGTCCATTTGTTCATCCAATCTCTCAAATAAGGGCAGTTGAACAAAACGTCATATGCAATGTTATCTGTTCATTCATTCAACCGAACACTCGACGCTTTTTAAGTCTACTATGAAACAGCTCACCTCGCCTTGTTTTATTATGTTCCCGGTTCAGATCTCATTTGTAATTTGATTGTAAAGCCCTCGCATAAGATGTTCTGACTCGTTTTCGTCTCTTATTTTCTATGTTTCTGTATCGTAGCCAAATTTGTTCGCCTGTGCCGTCTGCTGGCGTCATGTTGTGTATGTTGTTTTCGCTGCTTTTCCAATGCTAACTCTGGCGCCAGTGTCGTATAAGTGGGGAAAGAGCAAAGGGATAGAACCTTAATCTCTTCTGTCCAGAGTGAATCATATGTGCATCCTACAAGCTTTATCTTCTTGGTCCTTCCCTGTTTCATCCGATCTGATCATCTGTCGGGCTTGAGAGTAGAGAGTGGTCCACGGCTTCCGACTTTCCTCGAGTCATCGATTGGGTACCAAATGTGGCAAGTGCTTTTGATTCTCATTAGTCATGCAGTTCGCATTTGTCTGTGATGAATGTTTTGTCGTACAGGGCCGTTTGCCGGTATGTGTACACTGCAGTCATTAATGTGCTACCGATTCAGGTCGGGTGTAGCCAACCACCATGAGTCGTATTTTATAGTTTTCCATGTGCTTGCGTCTTACATATTCTCAGCGCTCTTTACAACGCATACCTAATTTTCAATTAGACAAATCCAAGCCATTGGTCTTGTTTGTCAATAACCTATTCAGGATGCTCAGAACAGCTAAGGCTTTCGTTAACCAGGCATCCGAATTATAGTTCTGGTAAAAAAACCTTCGGTTTTTCCCCAGTTGTTTTACGGTACCGGATTTCCTCTTCCTTTGAATGCGAATCTGTGATGGCAGGTTACTCAGATATGGGACGCATGGCAATTCTACTTCATCTATCTACAACTAGGCGAAAAAATCTCAGGACAAAGACTATTCCGGACACCATCCAGTTGTCGCTTGAATTTGTTTACTTTTTTACAAGAAAAGCAGTGGTGGTAATTTATTCCGTTCGTTCGCCACGCTGCTCATGAAAATTTGAACCCAAGTTCAAGTTGGGTTCTGGGTTTCATCAACTTTAGACAGCGCCCTCTTGTAGAGTCGACCGTTAGGCAAACAAGCTATTTACTTCTAGCTCTGTCAGATACTGCATTATTTTGCGATTTTTTAATGAAGTCTTAGGTGTCTTTTGTCCATGGAGAAAAATTCTAGAGTTCCCAACATTTCCTTATACTGTTTGCCCCTTATTCTGGCGACCATTCCTAATGCCAACTATTACATCCCATCGATGGAATAGAAATCCTTCATAAAATTAGATGCTCAAGCTTAAATTTAGTCGTCTCGCTGAGTTGCAACCACTGTATGTTGTTAGATGAAGCCCTTTGACTTTCTGGATGACAATGCCCCCTTGATTTGAAATGCCACTTGAACTGGGTGTTGTTCGGATAACTTTAGTCAGATCGGCTTCCAGTGGTCTAGATTTCACCAATTCTGCGAAAAAAATTCTAAACTGTTAGTAAAGTTGGTTATGAACAAGAGAGAGAACATCAGGCCAAATTATGAGCTCCGAACTACTCCACTTGATAGGCTGGATTTCTACACGAACCATATGGGTCATACCTTGAGAAGAGCCTCTATCCAGCTCAGGAGAGACATGAAAGTAAAATCTCTTAAGTTATGCTAACGGACACTGAGGATTCACAGATTCGAAGGCTTTTCCGAAGTCCAAAGGGCACACTTTGATCTCTGTCGAACCTCCTAGTATGAGACGCACTATAAATTGCGCAGCACAACCTTTTCTTGAGGAAGCCTTGTTGGGCGGGGCCAATTAACCCGTCGAATAATGTGCTCCAATACAGCATTTCTTTCTAAGGTTTGTGAACCTTTGTACAGTACGCTCGTTAGGTCTATGAGCCTGGTAACTCGGTTGCCGCCCTTATCTTTGGCTACCACGGTGGCTGTTTGCCAATCTCAAGGACCTTACATTTCTTGGGGACTCCTTGCAGAGTGTTGTTACGGTCAAAGCAAGTACACTTGCCAGTGGTATGGTTTTAGGCGAATGCAGGATAGCGCTACCCGAAGCTTCATTAACTTCGAGATTTTCTTGTCTGGGCCCAGCATCATTTATCTCGTGTTTGAGAAGTGAGATTTCTCGGTCAAGCTTCGTAACTTTCTTCTCCAGTCTCTCCATGTTGTCTCTGCAAGATCCATGCTTACTGATTGATATGACCGGCACTGATTTAATTTCTATGGAACTTACGTCCGGTCCCTTCTGTTAAAACTAGGCATGCGTACCTATTCCACTGTAGAGTATTATTACCTATTTAGGTTTCGTAAGTGTTCTTATCTAGGTGGGCACGCCTTAGCAGTTACCGGTATCCACAACAGTCACATTGAATCCTACTGGACATATAAACGTTGTACACCATCCAGCCCTTGCCATTATAGAAATAAATCTTGGGAGATACCTGTAATATCTCGGCAAGAAGATCAGGTAATGCCTCCTACGAATTGAGGTCACTTAATTTACAAAAATTAAATCTGGAAACTTACTGAAGGTCGATGCTCTATGGATAGGTTATTATCTACGTACTCGCGCCGTGTTTCGACTCTTTGAGATTAGACCATTTGGGAATTTGAACCGACCGCTCTGTGTCGTCCACTTCAGTTCTGTGCTGTTGAGTANNNNGAGTATGGCTGAAGGTGGTTTCTTTGTCACTTAAAATTTTCTCTTTATGCTACCAAAATTTCGGTTAAAATTCCTGACACGTTGTTCAATTATTTCGTCTTTCTTATTGTGAACATTGTGGGATGAATGAAAGGTTGACATCGATGTGACAATTTGCTTCAGTTGACGGTAAATAGAATTCCGACACAGTACAAAATTAACCACATCAATAAATGGTAACTTCGTCTAATCTTCATGTAAACCGACACTCAGTATCATACACCCGAATTGAGTCGAATAACGACCACGTTGGGTCCACATTAATCAGTTGGATAAAATATTTCTTTTGTGCTTTAATAAATGATGAAAGTACGTTGACTCCATGGGACCGATTTGCACTTGAAAACCAGTAAGTGGAACTGTTGAACGAAATCACTTTATCCTCCAGGACGCCAAACGAATGAGTTGTGTAACTTTGTCAGTGCGATGGAATGATATTTGAAACAGTGCTAAAATGTCACATTTGCTGCTAAGTGATGGTAGTAAATCGGGACGGAGTTGGCTTATGACACTTGCTACCGATGATGTAACATTCCAGTTACTAACCAAGCGTTTTGCTCCTTACGCAACTACATCTTTGATGGACTGCTAATCCATGGTGCTGTGTTACCCTGCCTACCCTGATCGGGTCTGTCACCTTGGGTGATCTGTGTGCAGTTATGTTGATGTATGTTTATCAAATGATTGACTGTATGCTGCTTCGATTCAGTCATTTTAGCAGCGCAGTTCCGAAACGTCACGATTTCGCATAGAGACTCATTATTTGAGCGCCACTGTACTTCTACCATTGCGTTCATTTTGACGAAAAAGCCAAATCAACACTTCGTGATATATACCCTCTAGAAAACCCATCACAACACCCATGGACGTCTAACTCTCTGCTGCCATTTGGAACCGAAACCCGTGTGACTTTTTTTGTTTTCCCTGCCCTCTATGATTCTTATCGTTGACTGTTACTAGCCTTCCAACAATCATCTGTCATTATCACTAACTGAGCTGTATTCAGCCAATCGAATTTCTGTAATATACTCCCAAATATATATCCACAAGAAAGTTCCTCCCAAACGTCTTTTACTGGAAATGATCAATAATGATGTTTTTGAACGCAGAGTATTACGTAGTTGAGCTACGTAGTTCTCATCCAGTCTCCGGAACATTTTCTCAGAGACTTCTGTTAATTTGGTAAATGTGAACAGTTCGTGATCTGTTTAACTGTTGTGAAAATCGTCACCGAATCAATTAAGATATGTTAGAATCCTCCATAGGAACCCACAGAGCTCATTTAAATTAAAGTTGAACATATCAATGCACTGTGTGTAATAATGTTAATACCATCACTTCAAAAGATCCACATTTTTCATTTTACTTTTCATACTCGCACTCTGGATGAGCTATCAATAGACGGAAGACAGGCCAAAGAATTTGAATATGGACCTTTGGGGTTGGACTGTTTATTTTTGTTTGGAATCTCATAACTAGATGTTA